CCTTCGGGTGAGAAGATAGTGATGTGTCGATCAAAACCGGCTGAACTTCCTCTCGACATCTCTGGTCAGCGATTGTGTCTTCAATTCAATCAATGGTTAAAACAATCGTTTATTTCAAACACTTTTCACTTTTCAATCAAACACTCAATTGAGTCAATACTCAAGTGATTCAGCATTTGTTGCCTTCGAGTCATTCAGAAATTACGTCCACATGTGTGCCGACTATTTGTGCGAAACATACGTAACGAATGTGAGGGGAGGGGGTCTATAGGGGGTTACAATTGTGGGGGTTTTGCGGTCTATAAAAGGTGTCTATTTTTAGGGGGTTTTAAAGTTTGATAATTTCGAGACGTTTTTATTTCGTAAGCCTTTTGTTTTGACATTTGATTTGAATTTCGTTTTTTGGACAAAACTTTTTGATGAAACGCTTATGAGTTTGTGAAGCGTTAACTCCGGAAGAATGGTATCGTTTCGGTGTTTGGATGACATCTCTGGTCACATATCGGGTGAAATCGATGCCATGAAATGGAATCCGAAAATGGATTTAATAGTTCTGTCGCTCAGAAGCGGTGATGTAATCGTCCACCGATTGGTTTCGTGGCAAAAGGTCTGGCATTTGCCGAAACCGAAGCTCAAGACCGCCGCCGACGACCGCAAGAGCGCCGACGACAAGTGTTTCGTTCGGGACATGGATTGGAGACCCGACGGGAAAATACTGGCCATCGCTTACGAGTTGGACATCGACTCCAGCGATGCAAACGATGGCAAGTCTTGTCTGGTGTTACACGACGTCGAGACCTCCAAAATGATCCATAAGATCGTAATCGACGGTCAAATCAATTGCATTGATTGGCAACAGAAGATGACCACCGACTCGGACTCGTTCGGTCACTCGGAGTCCAGTTTCGACTTATCGAAGAACTGTTCGGCGATTTCGCCGTTTATTACTCTTTTGCCGAAAGCAAACTCTGTGTCCAAAGGCTTTATGAGAGGCAACCGGAAGACCAATGAAGACAATCTCAATGATATGATGAAAGTGGAGAACCAGAAGACGCTCAATGTGTTGGCCATCGGAACTGAGAATGGGTTCATTGAGTTGTATGCGTTCGGTGTCTATAAAATCGCCAAACTCTTCACCGCAAACACTAATCCTATTAAATATTTGGCGCTTTCGAGTGATCTCTCGATTATCACCGCTTGGATCGAAAGCCGCGCCGAAGAGAACCAAACAACGATTAGTCAGTATTCGATGATTAGCTATAATCTGAATGTTTTAAAACAAAGAAGTCATCAGATTTTGATGATCTCTCAGATCTACGCGCAGTCCATCTCTCTATTGTCGCATTTGAACGAAACGATGCGCGAGATTCACGAGGCCTGGGAGGACGTGATGGTGGAGATCGACTCCAAACTATCCAATTATGTCTCACAACACAGGAGTCACAGCAAATCGGATCAAAAGGATCCGAACGACAATAAAATCCCGTTAATGGCCGACGAGTTTCTGGAGCTTTTGGTTTTGGGGAACGCAAGCGATTCTCTGGAAAAGTTTCTCAACGACTTGACCGATAAGGGGCTCAAGAAGTTGGGCCACTCGATAGAGTTGGCCTATTCTAACATTCAAAAGCTTGTGGTGAAAAATGTTGAGCGCGTTCTGCAGCACATCTACTGTCACTTCAACGCTCTGAAAGGTATGGCTCTCTGGGAGGAGAAGTTCGGTGACGTCGGTCTCGACGTGATGTCAGTCAACACTACACTGAAAAATATCGGCTCTTTTCTGTTAAAGTCAACTGAATTACAACAAGTGATCGACAACTCTATGCGAAACGTGAAGGCATTCATCCGATGGCTGTACACAGCGATGGTTAGGCTTCTGAACAACGAGTCCTCTCAGAGCGAGTTAACCAAAGTCTCGCAACAAGACATACAATTTGTCACCGAATTTATTAAAGAGAACTTCGAGTTCGAGTCTTCGGCCAACACTTCGCGGCCGAGTTCTAGTAATTTCACGTTAGAAAGAGTCGGACAGTATCTCAAAGAGAAGGACTTGACTTCCATCAAGTCGTCTATTAATGACATATCGATTAATCCGTGGATACAATACCTGAACGACAGACCGAATCTGACGATCACCGACAATAAGACACTATTGCTATACGAACACAAACCCAACACATCGTTTGTCGGCGAACACAAACTTCTGGACCAATCGGTTCGCCAGGCATTCACCGGACCTTTCAATGTCATCACACAATCGCTGGAGAGGAATGGCTTGCGATCTAGTCTTTCAAATCTGGTCACAATTGACAGCAACGAGTTGTTGAAAGTGAATCACGTCTCGGATCTTAATTTAGGATATTTTTACACATCTCTCATAAACAAAACAAAAGCAAACAAATTGTTTATTATTCGCCACTCAATTGGGACCCAATGCTCGGTTGACTTTGTTTCGGTCTCTTTTCAATTAAACGGCACTCATTTAGCGGTAATTGACTGTCAATTCTATACCGAAACGATAATATCGTTACTATTGGCCGAACGCGAGTCCAACCAATCGTTTTTAGTTCAAATGCCGCTCAACTTATTGAACAATAATTATGAGCGCATTATAAGTAATATTTATTTAACGAATCCAATGACTGTTGAATTGAGTGATGTGTCGCCCGATTCCGGCCTTATATACAGAAGTCTTGATAATATGGTGTTATTATCAGTGAGCGGTTCCCGTAAAGTCGCGTGCCTTTCGTTTGCCTCTAAACGCAGAGTAAAACTCTTTGAAATGGATGTCTGCGAGGATGAAGAGGAAGAACAGGACTCGACCGGAATCATTGATTTGAATGCCAGCGCCGGTCAACTCCCATCAGACGAGTCGACCAGTTTTAAAGACATTTCTACCCTATAATCACTTTATTCTTATTTTTCTACCAATTTTATCATTTGTTTCAATTAAAATCACTTCAAATTCAAATTGGAAACTAAAATCTAAACTTTATTTAAACAAATAAATCATTTTTGTTTCGAAATCATTAATACAAATAGGGATTTCTGGTTTGGATCAGTTGTCGCCAGAAGGCCATCATTTGCGGATTCGTTTCAACGCAAATATGTTTGAGACTCTCTTCGGAGGAGTTCTTCTTTCCCATCAATGCTTGTAATCTATCCTTTTGTTCTTCGATAGTGTACTGAATGGCGAGTTTTCTTTGGACACCGACTGCTGGCAAGAGATATGACTCCAAATACGCTATTCTGGAGTTAATATTCTCCATATATGAGTCCAAATGGTGTGAAGTCTCGCGATTGATGCAAAACGCCTCGAATAGATAGGAAGCGCATAAAGAATCGACAAATTGGTCAGAATTGGTGCGAACGGCACTCACTCTGTAATCATCTTCGGAGTGGACATCGATTTGATTGTTTACACCGATTCTTATAGTGTGCGCGAAACTAGTGATCAATGAACGACATTGCGGGCAGTGGTGGCTGTATTTGAGCCATTCATCCAAACAAGTGCTGCAAAATATGTGACTACAAATGGTTATATCGATGTCATGAGACACCGACTGCTGACAGAGAATGCATTTCACTTTTTGCAGATCAATGTCTTTGATGGGAACCAATCCATTGTGTGCTTTGCGATCACTCACTGGACTCGACTTGTAGTGATTATCGCCTCCAAATATATCCTCTTTGCAAACCACAGAATCGTCGGTTGTCTTCGAGTGATTGAAGTCAAAGCCTTCGTTATCTTTGGCCTGTTTTTCGATGTTATCTTTGAAATCATAATCATTTTCCAAATCACTTTTCAATAGTCTTTCAGTGCTTTGAATGACTTTGAATTCAATTGAATGCGAATTCTCTTTAAATTTGGGTCCAATTCTTTTGACTTCGGTTTCCATCGGCTTTGAATCCAACGATTGGTTCCCATTCTCTGCAATCAATGGCAATGTTTTGGATTTGGATTTGTGTCCACATCTCAAGTGATTTCCAACCAATTCTATTCTTTTGGTCACTTCTTCTCTGAACGACTTGACATCAGAAGAGTTACGTTTCGGTGGCTTTTCTTTCACATCATCTCTCGGTTGCCGACAATTAGCCGACGATTTCTTGCTTTCAAACACTTTGCTCTCATTCTCGGACACATTCTTCTGGCTTTTATTAAAGCTAATCATTTGAAACGACTTCTTTGGCTTCGTTTCAGCATTTTTATCACTTTTACCCGTTTTTGCCTTTGATTTGGAGAAGAGATCGCGGAATATATTCTTCATTTTAAGATGATTTGAAGCTTTAATTTAATTTTGATTTTTGACCGTTTTATGTGATTATTATATTTAAAGAGTTAATAATAGTTTTGAAATAAATGAATGCATTTATCATTTACTAATTGTTTCAACATTTTCTTGTGTCAAATACTAACCTTTCATTTGTGTCAATATTTTACAGTTTTGTATTATTATATTTAAAGAGTTAATAATAGTTTTGAAATAAATGAATGCATTTATCATTTACTAATTGTTTCAACATTTTCTTGTGTCAAATACTAACCTTTCATTTGTGTCAATATTTTACAGTTTTGTTAAAGTTTTGCAAAAAAGAGAGAAAACTATAAAAATCTCAATGAATTATTCAATTATGAAATGTAAGTTTACAGTGTTTTGACATAGATTTTCTAATATTGAAAATTGCATATATTTCATATGAATAACTTGATTTCTGGTCATTTTTTAAAAGTAATTTTACAAATTTCATTTGGTTTATATCGAAACAATTGTTTGCACGAAATGTTTGCAATTTATAATTTGAAACACATTTAAATGTCGACAGTTTAGTGATGATCCGATAGGCGGGCGATAAACATATACTGTTATCTATCGGTTCCTTAAGAGTGACAATCGAGCGATTAATACGAAAAATATCATAATTTGGTTGATTCAGTGGTTATACATGAATAGTGCCGTAAATAGTGATGAAAGCAAAAAGTGCTACATTTGTTTGGACAGAATCGTAGAAGAAGTCAAACTCGACAACTGTTCGCATCGGATTATTATATTTAAAGAGTTAATAATAGTTTTGAAATAAATGAATGCATTTATCATTTACTAATTGTTTCAACATTTTCTTGTGTCAAATACTAACCTTTCATTTGTGTCAATATTTTACAGTTTTGTAAAAGTTTTGCAAAAAAGAAATCTCAATAAATTATTCAATTATGAATACACAATACTTTACAGTATTTTGGCATTGATTTTGTAATATTGAAAATTGTATATAAAACTTTATTTAATATGAATAACTTGATTTCTGATCATTTTTAAAAGTATTTTTACCAATTTCATTTGGTTTATATCGAGACAATTGTTTGCACGAAATGTTTGCAATTTATAATTTAAAACCGATTTAAATGTCGACAGTTTAGTGATGATCCGATAGGCGGGCGATAAACATATACTGTTATCTATCGGTTCTTTAAGAGTGACAATCGAGCGATTGATACGAAAAGTATCATAATTTGGTTGATTCAGTGGTTATACATGAATAGTGCCGTAAATAGTGATGAAAGCAAAAAGTGCTACATTTGTTTGGACAGAATCGTAGAAGAAGTCAAACTCGACAACTGTTCGCATCGGTTCTGTAGACTATGTATAGCCGAGTGGTCTGTCGTCAGTAAGAAGTGTCCGCTCTGTCGGCAATCCTTCACACAATTTATATCCGATATAGAAGTGAATGAAAACAATAATTGTCTGCAAAAAGTGTTTGCAATGTGTTTAACATTTATATGCATTTGTTGTGTTGAGGAAATAAAGATGACTTTTAGTTAATTCATTAGTATTTAATCAAAATTTATTTTAAAATAATTTATAAATAATATAATTATTCCACTTTAAAGAATATAATAATTATATTAATAGTTAAGCGATTTGTTATTTCCATTATATAAAAACAAAACCAATTCACATATCAATCATTTAAATGAATTCAAATTCGTTGATACAAATAAAGATACGCCAAGTCTTTGGGCGGAGTCTCAGAGATGGCTACTTTGCTGTCGTTGAAGATCACCCAACGATTCTCTTTGAGTATATGACAGACATAATGGCCACACATAGTACTGGTGCCCATATGACTGATGAACGCAACCAATTTGTATCGCCCGCTGCCGTCTCGGAAACTCGATTCCGGGCTTTGACTTTGGTTTGGTTGAGTGGAAGCATCGGTGGCATCGGTTTGCATCGCCTGACTCGACAACTCGTCCGCGTGACTGAAGATCCAGTCAACAGCTCTCTCCATATTATTGTTCTATTCATTCAATTCATGATATAATTAAATACAATTCATTGATAACAACGCCGATAAGAAGTACCGTTGCTTTGAGGGCTTGAAAGGCCTGTTCGTCAGTAAAACCCATTGATATTATAGTCGCCAGAGATTCAGAGTCAGCCGTAAAAGCGGTCTCTGTTTTAGCTGCGCCTCTACTGCTGGCCGGTAGAGTGAATGGCTGTGAAAAGTCTGGATCTGCCATATGTTCCATAATCCAGTTCATTGTAGTCTCGATATCCCCGTTCTTAGTGTTATAGAGGGCTCTCTTACAGCCATCGATAGGAAATCCCATGTCAACCAATTGAGCCAAAAGGGCTGAATTGAATTCAAACGCAACCGCACCGCCGGCCGCTTCACCGGTATGTTTCGTTTCGGGCAACAGTTCCTCTCCCGGTTGAAGACCCGCTGCTCTGATGTGATCCAAATCAAGCATTTCTGGCACATCCAGTGAAATGTCCAACTTTTTTGGGACCCAATCGTCTCCCAACGCAAACTTCTTTATGTGAACCATAAGATAATCGGGAAATGTCTTCAAACGAGTTGTTCTGTTATAGAAGAATGAGATATTAATTCATCATTATTTAAACAAAATATCATTCAAAACAAACTGATTTGCAATTGTTTTGCCATTTATTGCTGAACTAAAAAAGTCTTCAATAACTGTTGGCGTAGCGAACGCTTCAACGCAGGACTTAATGGGAATTATAGGCCGAATAACATCTTTCGGTTCACTAATTGTTTAGATATAAAACAAATCAAGACTTTGTTCAATAGTAAGCATAACTAATGTATAACTAATGCATACATTTTCTGTCCCCTCTCCTGCATCTCTTTCTTCTTCACTTCAAATGCATTGACGGCTTCAGTGTTTGTCATAAACTCTGCGACTGGAAGTGATAGCATGTAATCGGTTCGTGTCGTGTACTTAACTTTCTTGGATTGTAAGCATTCGATGCGTTCCTCGACCTGAAACTTGAAGCAGTCGGTGGCGGGAGGGCTGGCGTTAGTCCTGTTGTTCCTTTCGATCACATTTATGAGATGCAGAAAGAATTCCTGAACGTCTTGTTGTCGTTTAGTGGAGAACTCGTGATGTCCTCTCCCTATCAGGTTCTTAAACATTGTGGGCTTTATTCCCGTCTGTTCTTTGGTCTCTCCATTAGTCAGTTCTTGCAATGAGTACTTCCCTGAGAGGAGTCCGTACGAGAGTTTCGCCATTTGAGTGGTGAAGTCAGAGGGAGGGTCTGTCGGCGCCGACTCGAAGATCTTGTCGGGCGGGAAATAGCGGTTCTGGAAGTCGGGAATACTGAACATCACTTGCATTACGGAATTCAAATAACACGAATTGCCCAGATTTGAGAGCCCAGTATAGCCCGGGCCGTACAGTGGCTTCAATTGTGAACCTTCTTCTTGTATTATAGACCATTCGCCCAAACCTTTGTTCAAATCGATTTCCAACTCAATCATCGATTTGTCTGTTTTCTCCATTTGCTTCACATTTATGCCAAAATGTGCCAAATGTTTGGCCAGAAGCGGGTCTTCAACCATATCGTCCTCATCGTAAGAATAGACATCTATATTGCAATCAAACGTTCAAATAATTGACACAAAACACACGTCAATATATCATTACCGGCGCCGTCGGCGGTAATGGTTCCGAGTTTGACTGCGAGCGGGTATTTAGTCTCCGCGTAATACTCGGACGCGTGATTGTTACCACCCGTTCCGTCAAAGTATTTACGACCGCATAGTATTGTACCGTCGGTTAAATTAAGCCACAAATTGTCTCTTTTGTCGCATTTCTCACATTTCCAACCTTTAGGAGGAATTTTGACGCCATTATCCAATTGCTTCAAATCATTGGCATATCTTCAGTAAACATAGATCAATAGAAATGAGATAATAGTTCGCTTAATGTGTAATATAAAGAGTAATACTTTGAGACAATCCTCTTCTCTCCATCCCAAGTGCCGGCCAATGCCTGCAACTCCTCTAATCTGAAAGCCGCGTCCGACGACAACACCATTGATATTGATTGCAATAACTGTTTTATATTTAATGTTTAATTTAGTATTTAATTTAATAATTAAAGCAAAATGTCATTTGAATACCTGTTCGGGAAGATCGGGGTTTGGGAGAGGAATGACAGTAAATTGCGGTAAAATAACCACTGAATTGATTTCATCGAATTGCTGTTTCGGCTGAGAGTTCACATCAAACCCGCCTTCAATACCGATCGCCAGTTTCGTGATCTTTGGTTTCGTTTCTTCGCAATCGCTTTGAGGCATCTGTGGATCAATTGGTGGTCAGAAATCACATCAAAAAGTCAGACAACACTACAAAATAAAGACATACTTCGCGAGCGATTCGCTTGAGATTGAGAAACACCGCGTTTCCGGTCTTCTTGTGGTGGAGTTCAACGAAATNAGAAACACCGCGTTTCCGGTCTTCTTGTGGTGGAGTTCAACGAAATCTCTGCCAAAACCGAGAAACGTATTCAAACAGACATACAGTCCATCCGGTGATAACTTTGTGGTGCGAAAAGACAATCAATGGTTGGATGAGTCAATGAAATGGCAAACAGTTTGGCATTCAATCAATTAATTCAATTACCGGAGAGTCGAAAGAGAAGACACACTCGTCTTTGTATATCTTGTCGTTTTGGACAGGGATTCGGATCTTATGGACGTATGGCTTCAGTGCATCCATGGCTGACATCTTGTCCAACAAACGGGTCAATGGATTCAATCAAAGATCGGATGTAAATCACAATTAAATGTGAATAAAACAGAAGTCGAGTCCAAAAACCAAACGTAAATGAAATGCAATTATTTTTTTTCACTCAATATTTCAATTCAATTGAAAACTTTATTTTTAAAACAAAAACTTTGACACAAATAACGACTCATTTTTCAATGACTTTTGGATTTAAATTGTGGGCCAAAAGAGAGCTTCAATTCAATGCACTTTTTAATTCATTTAATCACTCATTAAATCAAATGTTTGCCAACAAAATAAGTAAATCATTACAAATATAAATGTATATTAAATTCAAATATTAATCAATGAATTGAATGCATATTCAATGCATTTAAGCACACGTTTGAGTGAAAGGGGGCGCAAATGGGGGGCAATAATGGCGTCTGTCAGAACATTTTAAAACA